GTAATGTCTGAGTTCGAACGGGTTTTCAAGGTCGACGGAATCTAGACACACCCATCCCGCCTGGCCAGGCCCATCCCGGGCCCAGGAGCGTTGTATACGCCCTCCTGGCTTAGACATGGAGGCATATACACCGCTCCTGCACCCGTCATGGGTCTGACCAAGGTATCGATTTCGTCGACAGACGTTGCTCATTCTGTGTGAAGCTGCAACCATGAAACGAGCATCGCATTGCACAGAGGAAGGGATCTGCCCTGCAATATCGGCTTGCGAGGTCTGCGCCAACCACCAGTTGTATAATCAGAGGCTCCTGTATTCGCGCTTCGCGCTGCGCGAAGCGCGAAGCACGAATAACGTCGTGCTCTCACGCTTCTTTAGTCTTCCGGGCGTCCGAGATCGCCGAAGAGGCCCCCACTATCGCCCCAACATTGGCAAAACGGGCCTCAAGGTGGCCTAATGGAGGCCACAGACGCCCCAAAAGGACCCTGAGACGGCGCCCAGAAAACTCCAAGACGGTTCAATATGGCATCAATCTCTCTCGCAAACCGATGTGCGAAAATGGAAGAGGAACAAAAACGTTTGGCACGATACACCAATGAAGTCTTGCAGACATACGTGCGTATACAAGCGTAATTACATATACACTAGTCTGAAACAAAAGTCCACACATCCATCGGAGGGATCCTCAGTCTGGATCGGAAGTACATCAGATCCCTGATAAGGGCCCGCAATCTGAACTGGGAGACGATCACATAGGGCCCACACTCTGAACCTGGAGTCCACGTAGGAGGGGTCCACAATCTGAACGAGAAGCCCATCAAATCCTCAAGAGGGGCCCAGTCTGAACCGGGAGCCCATGAGATCCCCAAGAGGGGCCCACTAGTCTGAATTGGAAACTCGTCGGATCCTTAATCAAGGAGTGCCCACAATCTGAACCGGGAGTCCATCACATCCCTAGAGGTGGCCCACAATCTGAGCTGAGAGTCCATTGGCCTCCATTCAAAACAAAACACAGTCTGAGCCGGGAGTCCATCACATCCCTGAGACAAAGGCCCACACGGCGAACCCGGAGCCGATCGGTTCCCTGGAAGAGGGGCCCGCCAATGTGTCTGAACGGGGAGTCCGCATATCCACGGGAGAGGTCCATAGTCTGTGCTGGGAGTCCATCGTCACACAGCTGAGAGGGGCCCACGGTCTGAACCAGGAGTCCATCACATTCCGAGGCGTAGCCCGCAATCTGAGCCGGGAGTCCAGCAGACTCCGTGAAACAGGACCACTGTCTGAACCAGGAGCCCACCATAACCGCAGTCTCTAGCGCCTGCTGCGGGCTCGCTGCGCAATAAAAGTTAAATCACAAGTATCACTCTGTGACGTACCCAACCCATTTGCATCAAGTGACAAGAGGAGTTGGCCCGAACTTGCCAGGACAGTGACAATGCAGGCGCCGTTATGTGTCATGCAGACTACACGGGATGCGCTCAAGTGGCACGATTCACGGGACAACAACAGAATGACGAGGAGCGAGGGCCCAGGCTTGAGGAGGACGTGGGGGCGGGAACGAAGAGCAGGAGGAGGACGCGCGCGGGGCCGACCCGTCAGCGCGGCAGCAGCAGAGGGAAGGTGGCAAGGGGCAGAGAACGACGACGCGAGTGACGGGAGGAGACCGAAGAGTGCTGCGCTTGTCAGTAGTGTGCTAAAGATGCAGCGTTGCCTGCGCCATGTCGCCGCGGCGTTCGAAAAAATGATTGAACCTGCTCATACTTAGTGCACTCGACTGAACAAAGGCATCCGATTCGGTCTCGCCGGACGCGCTTGCCGGCTCGTTGCAGAGATTTGGCTGCCCAGAAGGTTTCGTGGCCGTCGTCATATATCGATTTACAGCGAGCGCAAATTCGTCGTGAGGAACCTCGGGGGTACGTCCAACGTGCAGCAGCACAGTTACGGCACATACCAGGGCTGTCCGCTGTCTCCTTTCTTGCTCACCATTGTGATGACGACGTTTCTCACGGACGCACACGCGCTGCTGCAGAGACGTGCCGGACCGATACCTGAAAATCGGTTTGCGAGGGAACTCGTGTACGCGGACAGCACATGGTTCATACTCTGACCCGGCCCTCGTTCAAGAACTGATGCGCTGCATTGATGAATGCGGGGGCCACTACGGGCTGCAGCTCAATTGGGGCAAGCTGGAAATTATGAAAGTGAGGACTGAAGCAAATATTGCGGGACGCAACGAGGTCCCCATTCCAGCCATGTAGTCATTGATTTATCTCGGGACGTGTCTTGCTGCAGACTGGCGCATAGGCGCAGAGCTGAGTCGGAGAATTGGGGCGGCCAGAAGTGACTTCAAGGTGGTTGCAAAAATCTGGTCGCATTCGACTCTGAGTACGAGACAGAATCTGCGCAAATTCAACGCTTGCGTTGTTTCCAAACTCGCATATGTTTTATTCACTGACTGTCTTGAACAAGCCGAGCGAAGACGGCTCGACGGCTTCCGCAACTCTTGTCTCCGACGGATTTGCAGAGTCCCCCCGTCGTACATCAGTCAGCTGCCGAATCGTACAGTTCTGCAGATTTGCCAACAGATGCCTTTGAGCGATAATCTTGCGTGTGGACAGGTGTTGTAAATGGGCCATTTGGCCAGAAGACCAGACGAAAATCCAGTCAGAGGCTCGGTGTTTGAGCCGGGCGGTCTGGCTCTCAAGAGCCTCCTGGGGAAGAGAAGAAGAGGCCGCCCGAGACAGTCTTGGGGGTTGACGGTGCTAAAGAATTGCCAGAATGTTGCCGGCTCCCATGAGCGACTTGCTGACTGCTTCCGCCGAGAGGGCGGTGCAGCTCGCAGGTGGGAGCAGGCGGTGAAAGCATGGGCGGCGTGCTGAAGGCATCCGCTTCCGTGCACTTTTTCACCCATTGCTCACGCGCTGTGGCTGGCGCAAGGCTTCTGGACTAGACGTGATCAGTGCAAGAGGGAGCGAGGCCTAGCTCGGATGCGAGCTTCCCTAACTTCCTCCCTGCACTTTTCAGTGTGGGAGCTAGCCGCCAAATCTGCGGGCGGCCCGCGACAGCGCACGGCTGGACCCCCCAACAGCCCTCGGAAGTGGCGACAGTTTCGCGGATCGCAGCACCCCAGGGATGGCGAGGTCCAATCTGAGTCTGGGTGGTGCCTCACTCCGCTGAACCCCCCAGCAGGCCTCGAAAGTGGGGACAGTCCCGCACATCGCAGCCCCCCAGGGATGGCGAGGTCTAATCTGAGTCTGGGTGGTGCCTCACTCCGCTGAACCCACCAGCAGCCCTCGAAAGTGGTAACAGTTTCGCAGATCGCAGCCCCGCAGGGATGGCGAGGTTTCCTGGTTGTCCGCATAAGACGTCACTCTGCTGCACCCCCCAGCTGCCCTCGAAAGTGGTGCCAATTTCGCAGATCGCAGCCCCCCAAAAACGGCGAGAGGTCTCTGGGTGATTCGCGTACGACGTCACTCCGCTGCACCCCCAGCAGCCCTCGAAATTGGCGACGGTTTAGCAGATCACAGCCCAACAGAGATGACCAGGTAGGAGGCAAGCTGGCTGGCAGGAATGAGCGAGGGAACAGGCAGCAGGGAAGAGGGGAGGGGGGGGCGGGGAGGAAGGCCGCGACCGCAGTGCTCTATTCAAAACGAATACCCAACGCAGGAAGGTTGGGAAAAAAACACACACACACACACACACACAATAACACAAGATGCCTGCGCCGGGCTCCTTCAGAGCCTGACAGACTGCCGACGATCCCGCCGCCCTCTCACTCTTGTCCGCAACTGCGCGTTGCTACGTCTATAGGCTCCCGTGTCGAATACCTGCAGCTTCTTGACTACCCACCAAACCACCCCAACCCAACCCGAAGTCGTCGTTGCACCCTTCGGCTTCTTGCGGGGGAACGCTCTTCAGCATGGAGAACATGCGGTGGAGCCCGTGAACCCCCAAACCCGAAATTTGATGGATCTCGGACCTTCGGGTTGGGTTGGGGTGGTCTGGTAAGTAGTGACCTCCGTATGCTCTAAGTTTTGTCCGACACTGCTCCACGAGAACTTCGGAGGGCCTAAGGCGGTCCCGTAGGGCCCCCTGGCGCCACCCAGACGGCCAGGGACGGCCCAGAGAAGTCCCCTATACAGCAGCACGAGGGCCCTCCCAGACGGCCAAGTCCGCCTCGAGAAAGCCAGGCGGCCCAAGAAACACCCGGACGGCCCCAGCGACAGGAGAACCTCTGCCGAGAGCCTCCGGGGAAGTCTCGGAAGCGCCACCGCTCACGGGATGGCCCAAGAACGTCCTGAGAGCCCAGAGGGGGAGTCGTGGAACTGTGGTCTTGCCGCCTGGGAGGCCCGCGGGGTCTCACACGATAACTCTTCCACGGAACCACCTCGCAAGGGCTCGTCAGGCCCAACGCGTCGCACACAGCTCAAGAGCATCCAGAGGCGCCGTGGAAGCAGCGTGGAGGAATCCATGGTCAAGCCACAATGGACCCAAGATGAAGGTGATCATTAAGCTGCATCTGCATCGAGGCATCACGGGTACATTGGAGAGGTGTATTCAGGACAACGTGGACCTCCCTTCTGGCTGATCGCGGGGCTCCGCAGTGCCCATCCTTACTGTGCTCGTCGTCGTCGCCCTGCGACTGGCCCCGCGACCCGCCCCGCCAACCCAGCCGCGATCCCCATGCGTGCAGTGGGCCATCTTACATTGTCCTTCGAGGATCGCGACCCGCCCGACACCCCGCCCCGCGACCCAACCGCTGTGTTTTGCGGAAATATCGGCGCCTGCGGCGGGCTTCTCTACATCAGCTGTCGAGCCTCGCAGCCCCTGAAAGGCGGCCCAAACGCCCCCTCACTCTTATCCGCAATTGCGGGGATTGGTACCAGACATGCACTGGCATCATGATCAAATGAGGCCTCACGGTCAGTAAATCATCTCCTGATGGCAATGATGACAGCTTTCTATGGTAGAGCAGGTGCCGAAGCCCGCACGTGCACTGACGGCTAGCTCGTCCTTTGCTTCTTGGGGATGACAGTATAGTCTGTACATCTGCATACCTTCTGGCCACATTTCCTGCAGAAGTCGCCACTGAGGGCCAACTGCATGCGCTGGTCGCCCTCTGACTGCTCCTCCGTGAAATCCAAGACCTTGTCCCCGGACTTCTCGTAAGCCTTGTCGAACAGGCCCCACGCTTTGGCCTTGTCCGCGTATTTCAGCAGTGCCTTTTGCGAGTCCGCCTCAATGTTACGCTCAGACTTCAGATTCAAGCGCTTCGCGCCCGCCTGTATAGCCAATGCTGCGAAGTTAGCCGAGTCGGTTTGCTTCCCGATCGGTCCTACTGTCTCTTGAGGTCGCAACGGCGTCACAGTCTTCTGGTTATGGCGAGCCTCCTGGTTCCGGATCCTCGTCATGTTGCCGTGCCCCGTAGCGTAGAACCTCTGTATGTCCTCGCCAACGCTCATGTTGAAGATCGGACCCATCCTGCCCTCTTGCTCCGCGAGGCCCAAATCTTTGGCCCTGACTTTCTTCCCGACAAAATACATCGCACCCTTTTTCGAGGTCGCTGGGTTGTACAACACAGAGACACTGCCAGCCGAGGTGCCAACGAAAATCTGGTTTTGCTCCCGAGGCCACGCCAGCAGTGTAGGCGCCCGCTTCGCGAAATCCAGGGTCCGTACCGAATCGAACGTCTTCGCGTCGAAGACACGGACGGAGCTGGAGTAGCCTCCGACGGTCTTCGAAGACGTACCAACAACCAGGTGCTTCCCGTCGGCGGAAACGCAGACTCCCGACTTTTCCTGCTCGGTCGGCAGGTTCCCGAATGTGTGGAGTGGACCTTTCGCGTCCGACAGCATCCTGCAATCCCAGACCTTTACCGTGCCGTCCAGCGAGCGCGTCACCATGGTGCTGCCGACTCCGGGCTCGCCGGCGAAGGTGATGTGGCTCACCGCCGCCGTGTGCGCTGTCCTCAGGACCTTGTCTGGCTTCATGTACCGCGCCTTCTCGAAGAACAACTGCACCGAGCCGTCGGTGCAGCCGCCCGCGATCGTCTTGCCGTCTACGGCGTTGAAGGCGCAGCAGGTCGGGTGGAGCCCGCCTGTCCTGCCCGAGGCGCCGCCGATGCAGACTCCCCGCTTGTCGAGGCACTTGAGCACGTGGACCGAGGGCAGCAGCTGGTCCATACCGACGGGCGTGGCGTTGAGGTCCCAGATGCGAAGCGTCCCGTCCAACGACGACGTGATCCACTGCTCAGGATTGAGCGGGTGCCAGACCCCACAGGTCAGCATCTGCGTGTGGCCCTTCGTGTGGGTCATGTCCCGGACGTACATGTCCCCCTTGACGGTGTACTGGATGGGCTTCGAGGAGCCATCCCTATCGTATATCCTGGCGTGGGAGTCGGAAGACACCACCAAAATCATGCCACCCGTCTTGTTGAAAGCAAGAGACTGCACCCCGTACCCCTCGGCGGGCTCCATGCTGCGAAATGAACGCATCTCCTCGTTCATGCCGGCGAAGTCGAAGAGCTTGATCGTGCCGTCCATGCTGCCAACAGCCATCCTCGACCCCTTTGGATCGATAGAGAGAGCGGTGACGGCCTTCTCGTGCACTGGCACCTCGACCTCGTGCGTGACCGGCAGGTTTCCGCCCTCCCTGATCGGCACAGGCTCCTCCACCTCATCCTCCTCGTCCTCGCCCTTGCCAGGGCGGACGCAAGGGGAGCGGGGATGGAAAGCCAAACCTTCCGGCAGGGAAAAGACAGCAGCATCAGGACCCTTGGAACAAAACTCCCGCCAAGGCTTCCAGCAGAACAAAAGGATCTGTAGTTCTGGAGGGCGAAATTCGGAACTCTGGAAAGCATGGTTTTGGGGGGGAATCAGACACGTGCAGATGGTTTGCTCAAAGCCTCCTGGCGCCCATGCATCGAGGCAGGGTGTCCGGCAGCGGGGCCAAACCTTGCCGCGTGCAGCTGATTTGCCGCAACACCCATTTCCCGATTCTCCTTCCAGACCTCCGACGTCGTGCTTCTGCCACAACGTGGACCCCCTTGAAGTCTCGACTACTTTCCTGCGACCAGGCTTTCACCCCAAGCTGTCTTCTGACGGTCCTGGGGCCCAAGTATGCTGGACGCCGATCAAGGAAAACCGCAGGGATAAGGATTACTACCATAGTTGGCTTCTGCCGCTGGGAGAGAATCTGGGGAAGAGGAACAAGAATCTCAACCACGACGACGACGACGCCCACGAGCCGGCCAGGCACACCATGTGTTGATCATCGCCCAGGGCGCTGCTGCGCGACGGGCTCCCACCAAGCAACTCTCCATCGCCATCCTACTTGAAAGGCCCCCGGAGGCCGAGGATGACCAAAAACCTCCCGCCCAAGTGTCCCCACGGCGCGAGGAGGCCGGGGCCTTCCGTTGCTCAACTGATTTATTTATGTTGAGGGGGGGAGGCCTGGCCCTTCTGTTGGAAAGAGACCGACCGTCCCGGCACCCCCACGGGCCTACCACGAAACGCTCCAAGAACAAACGCATGTGCTGAGCAAAACAAGCATGTCTTCACACGTTTTCATCGGCAGCGCCAGAGGTCGCGGGCGCGGGGGCCGAGCCCGGCGTGGCGAGCCGAGCGCGAGGCGCGCGGAGCGGATGCTCTTGGAACGTGCAGCCAAGGGCTCCCAACTTCGCGCTTCGCGCTGCGCGAAGCGCGAAGTGCGAATAACTTCGCGCTCTCGCGCCGCCTCCCAAGGGAGAAGAGGAGGATGAGGAGGAATCGGAGCCGAACCGCGAAGCGCGAAGCGCGAATAACTTCGCGCCCTCGAGGGCGCCCTTGGTGCAGCCCATCGATTGGGACCACCTCGGCCAGACATGGCCTGCGTCAGAACATGCCGTGCAACAAACAGAGGTTGGCGGCGCGCACGAGGGGGTGTAAGGGGGAGGGGGCAAGGCTTCTCAGAAGCAGCCTCCCTCTAAGAAGTCCTCCCCCCTCCCCCTTACCCCCGCCCTGCGCGTGGCTGGAGCCTGAGAACCCACGTTGCAAACAAAAAATACAACATCGCAAAAGAATCACCGCCAGAGCCCCGGACCCCATCTTTCTGCGGTTTTTCAGGCGGATCGATATGCGAGGGTCCCGGGGCCCGAAACTGGGCGAAAACGCCCGTTGCAAAAAAATCGCAACGCCAGGATCTCAGGAACGAGGGTGCTTGGAACACTCTTGGGAGGCCCCCTACACGCGGCAGGACGCTCCCCCGCCGCTTGAGCGCTTCGCCCGCCGCGACCCTCCGAGGCTGCGGGCCGTCGACCTCCATGCCGCCCGCCCCTCGCCCGCCGGCCTCTGGCTCCTGCTGACTACCTACCAGACCACCCCAACCCAACCCGAAGACCCGAATTTCGGGTTGGGGGGGGTACGGGCTCCATATGTGTTTTCTCGATGTTCCCCGACCCCCCCCAACTGGAAATGGACGGCAAATCGAGACCTTCGGGTTGGGTTGGGGTGGTTTGGTGGGTGGTGACCTGCGGGGCGCCGGGGCCTCTCACGCGGCGGCTCCCCGCGGCCCTGGACCCGAACTGCACGGCGCCCTTCGCCGGCGCCGCCAGGGCCTCCGCCGGGGGAGGCTGCGGCGGGCTCGCGCGGAGAGAGGTCGCGGGCGTTGGCTTCCGACGTCGCGTGGAGCTTTCCGCCTTGAACGATGGCGGCCCTCGTACACCCTGCGAAATGCTTAAGAAATCATGGGTTAAGAAATTCATAGTCTCAGAACTTGAATACAAAACCCATCATTCCCATTCAAATCTTAGGATTTACATTTAAACGTTAAGAATAATCGAGACTCTGGCCAACAACTGAAGTTTTCTTAAGCATCGCGTAAGGTGTATCGCCCAGATCGCTCGACAACGGCCGATTCTGGTCCACCAGCGGCGTGGAACCTTGCACGCCCACGCTGGGGTCGCCGCCGCGTCGGCACGACGCGAACTGACCGTCATTGACCACCACGCCCATCAGGGCTGGGCTCATCGTGGGCCCACTGGGAGGAGCTCGGGGGTCGCCAAGGGGACAGGGGGGACATGAGTGGATGTCAAGATGGGGTACGGCTGGCCCGACGTGGCACAAAAGTGGGTTACACATGCACCAAGTGGGTTAGGGGGGCTTACGGATCTGGGCTAAGTGAGCTTCGCCTATCAAGCCCCCCTAAAGCCACTTGGTGAGCATCGTTTATCCCACCCCCATCCCCAGCGGCGTGGCCTGGGCCCCACTGGCCGATTTACCCCCCTAGATGGGCATGTTGGCCGTTCCCTTCGGGTTTCGAGGGGTGTATCCCTAACTGGGGTGGAAAGTTGGTGGGGGTCTCGAAGGGGATGGGGATGGGGATGGGGGTCGGTTAAGCGATACTGACCTGGGGCATTAGTAATTAACCTATACCCATCGGTCGGAAGAGGTGTGTAGAACCATGAAGTAGGAAGGCGTTGGAAGTAGATTGGGCTTGCGCCCGCTCCCTGAAGAGGAGGGAAGGGGGGAAACGCTCGACTCTTGAAGTAGGAAGGCGGCCGAAGTAGATTGGAACCTGGAACTCCAAAAATACCTACTTTCAACGACCGGCGTGTAAACTAGGTTTGGCCAAATCTAACTCACCTTGGCATCCACTGATAGCCCCCCTATCCCCTTCGCAACCCCCGCGCCAATCCCAGCAGGATTGGTGTACACGTTCTCCTGGCCTGGCCAAGGAAGCACGAGCACCGACCCTGGACCAAAGATCGACACCTGGCCAGGTTCTGCGAGAGGTGGACCCAGTCGGCAGCAGCCCCCCGGCCTTCGCGTCCCTCCGCGCGGTGCGGTCGTGGACCTCCAGCGAGGGGGTGTTGTCCTTCGCCACCTTTCGGCGGCGAGCGAGGGAGGGAAGTGAGAAGGAGAAGGCCTTGTCAGAAGGTTCGGCAGTCACCCGGCCTTCTGAGAAGTTTTCAAAGCCTTCCCCGAAGAAAGCGAAAAAACTTCGCACAGGTGCGAGGGCTTCGGAAAAATCCCGCCGCCTTCTGAGAAGGCCTTCTCCTCCTTACCTCCCCCCCCCTCGCTCGCCACCGAACCTTGCCGAACGACATGGGGAACAGCGTGCGCCCCGCCCCGATGTCCTCTCGGGGCGGCGCGGCGGACGAAAGGGCCCTCTCGAGGGGGGCAGCGATGGGAGGGGGGTAACTAGTTACCGGAGGAGGAGGAGGAGGAGGAGGAGGAGGAGGAAGAGGAGGAGGAGGAGGAGGAGGAGGAGGAGGCGGAGGAGGAGGAGGAGGAGGGGGAGGAGGAGGAGGAGGAGGAGGAGGAGGAGGAGGGAGGAGAGGAGAGGAGAAGAAGAGGAGGGGGGGGGCCGGGAGCACCGACCCGGAGTCGGCGATGCAGCACGGGTGGGCATCGGCGAGGGGGCCCCCCCGAGGGGAGGTCCGCACGCTCCTGGGCTGTCGGCGCCCCCCTCGCGGGGCTGTCGGCGCCCCCCTCGGCGGTGGAGTGGGCGACTTTGGGGGTCGGGGCAGCCCTCCTGGAGCGAGGCCTCCTCCTCCTCCTCCTCCTCCTCCTCCTCCTCCCCCCTCCCCCCTCGTCCCTCTCTCCTCCTCCTCCTCCGGAGGAGGAGGAGGAGGAGGAGGAGGAGGTGGAGAGGAGAGAGGAGGAGGAGGAGGAGGAGGTCCACCACCCCCCCCCGCGGCTGCCCCCGAGAGAGGGGGCCCTGGAGGAGAGGAAGGCCCTGGAGCCCCTGTGGCCAAGCCATTCGCCCGGGCGCGCCTCGTGGTGTGTTTTCTCGTGAGGCAGGGCGACGATATGGCCACATACCTACTCCTACTTCTCCTCTTCCTCCTGATCCTCCTCCTCCTCCTCCTCCTCCTCCTCCTCCTCCTCCTCCTGCTCCTCCTCCTCCTCCTCCTCCTCCTCCTCCTCCTCCTCCTCAGGGGAGGCCAGTCCACAAGAAACCTTTCACAAGAAACCCAACCCTGAGACCCCAGGGCGCCCATCGGCTTTGGTGTGGGAGCGTCACGCTTCCCGCCGCAGCACCAATCGGAACCCAGGACACCCGTAGGGGGTACAGGGCAGTTTTTAATACATCGGATTGTTTTAAAATGTGGAATTTTAATACATGACTAATTCATGACTAAATGCATTCATGAACTCATCGTTGTCTTTAATGCTAAATCCGTGCATCTTTTATACATGATCCTCACGCGGAGCATGTATTAAAAACGGCACTGTAGGGCGGCGAGATCTCTGCACAGCCACTGCCCCAGGCCTGGCCCGTCCCGGGCCCAGGAGCGGTGCACGTGCCGCCCTGGCCAAGGCAGGAGCGCGTGGGCACCGCTCCTGGGCCCAGGCCAGGCCTGGGGCAGTGGGCATGCATAGGTCTCATCGCCCTGTGAGAAGGGCCCCGAGGTGTGCTCACCTTCTGAAGAAAATGCTCGAGACCCCCTGCGCGGCACCTCCAGACGCAGCGTGCACTGGATGTACGCTCCAAACGCACGTCGGATCCCCGGCAGCATGACATCGGAACGTCACCGCGCGAGCGTCATCCCATACCTGACGGGGCGGACGTGTGGACTAGATCCTACAACGTCTGCAGGCCGCGCGAAGCCTCCGGGATTTTACTCACAGATCACCCCCATGCGGATGCGATGGGGCACGTCGTGACAGATACCACCACAAACGATGTCGCCGAGGCGGAAAGGGAGAAACTACACACGAAGGCATTGCTTGTCCCCCAACCCCCCTCCGTACCGTCTCTTGGCGGTTACAAGAGCTCCGAGAGGGGGCCTGGGAACCCAGGGCCGGTAAACTAAACTCCCGAAGCCCCTCTGCTCCAAGCCCCGTCTCTCCTTAATAGCAGGCCTTCGCCCCCGTCGTCACACCGAGTTCGTGCGTTGACCCCTTGGGGATATCGACCCCGTCCTCGGGGCCAGCTTTTCATGTTTCGCACCCGTCGTCGCATCGTTTTCGTGAGTGGACCCCTGGGGATCTCAACCCCTTCGCCCCGGGCCAGCTCTTCCTGCCGAGTGGTTTTATCTGGTGGGGCGGGGAGGCGGCTTCAAGGCCGAAAACTTAGAAAACCGGGCCGTCACGTTTTTTGAAGCCCATGGCCTGCGAACAAACTCCCAAACCCCTCTCCTCCAGGATCCGTCTCCTTCATGGCAGCAATTCGCCCCCGTCGCCACACTCCTTTCGTGAGTGGACCCCATGGGGAATCTCGACCCCTTCCTCGGGGCCAGCTTCTCATGCCGAATCGTTATGTGTGGAGCGGGGAGGCGGCCTCCGAGGCCGAACGCTTACACATCGCCGCGACGAAAGTTTCTTACTATTTGCATGTTTGAATGACGCGTTCGTGCGGAGTAGTTCGGAGTAGTTTTACTAAAACTACTCCGCGCGCAATCGCATCCCGCTCGATAATTTATATGGGGCAACAGAGTTATTAACGTCTCCGGGATCGGGAACTACTCCGCCGAATGATTCCAGCATCATGTCATGTTAGGAATATTGAGAGGGATGGGAGAGATCTTCATCATAGCAAATTGAAGAAACTTGTGTCACGACTGCGTATAGAAAACCAGGCCATCTCATCTCTGCTGGCTGCGGCGCCCTGCCCTGCGGGCATGGCCAAGACCCTCTCCCTCCACAGCGGGCAAGAGAGCCTGAGCACGGCCCCCGCGAGGCCGATGTCGAGGAGACTCCATCCGCCCGAGGTCCGGGCCTCTCCTCCCGGACCGGTCGTCATCCCCGCTATCGGCGGGGTCCTCCTCCGCGATGACCTCGTCCTCTTCCTCCTCGTCGTCGCTGGGCGGCCTGCCCCGGGGGGGGGCGGAAAAGGAGGGGGGGGCGGGCGCACAGTGGCCATGAGCGAGGATGAGCGAGGATGAAAGGAGGGAGGGAGGAGGAGGAGGAGGAGGAGGAGGAGGAGGAGGAGGAGGAGGAGGAGGAGGAGGAGGGGAGGGGGAGGAGGAGGAGGAGGAGCAGGAGGAGGAGGAGGGGACAGAGGAGCAGGAGGAGGAGAAGAAGGAGGAGGTGGCGGAGGAGGCGGAGGAGGAGGAGGAAGAGGAGGAGCAGGCAGCAGGAGGAGAGGAGGAAGAGGAGGAGGAGGAGGAGGAGGAAGAGGCCGAGGAGGAGGAGAAGGTGGAGGAGGAGGACGACGACGACGACGAGGAGGAAGAAGAGGAGGATGAGGAGGAGGAGCTGGAGCTGGACCTGGAGCCGGAGCGCAGCAAGAGTCACGCAGGCGGTTCCCACGCGCCCCACCCGCCGCGCCCTAGGCGCGGCATGCCTTGGCGGCAACTTCGGCGGCATCCTCGGCGGCGGGCCCACCCAGCAGGGGGGGCGCGGGCGGCGCAACCCGCCGCCGAGGCCAGGGGAAAGAACGCGACCGTGCCAGGGCCTCCCGAGGCCGTGGCACCCCGACGGGGCAGAACCGAGCCCCCCCAGGCCCTAGGGTCGGACCCAACACGCCGCCCCAGGGGGGGGGAAACGAAAGGGCCCCCCACGGCGCCGCCGCAACGCGCTCGGCCGAGAACCCTGCCCTCACATCTGCTGCTGCTTGCAATCTTTCGGCGACGGGTCGACTGCGCCCCAAACGCGGCCGCCCAGCCCGACGCCCTCGGCCTGCCCGTCGCTGTGGCCGCGGCCGCCGTCGTCGGCAACCCTGCAGCCGTCGTCGCTCTGGTGCTCGAGGCCCGCCGCGACCTCCTGCTCGTCCGAGTTCGCGAAATCATCGCAAGCTCCGAGACCGCGAAGCACGAGGGCGCGATCGATCATCGCGGCCTTCCGCTCGACCCCCAGCAACTCCAGCTCAAGCACTCGCACCGCAACATTTTTTTGTTGTTGCCCTCGGCGTCGTCGCAGTCGGCGCCGTCGACGGGGTCCTCGACCTCCTGGGAACCCCCCTCGCGCGACTCCGCGACGTCGAAGCCCTCCTCGACGACGTCCTTCTTCTCCAGAGGGCCCTCGACGTCGGCGCCGTCGACGGGGCCCGCGCCCTCGCGCCAGCGGGGCTCGGCCTCGATCGGCCGCGGCTCGGCCTCGAGGTCCCTAACCGCGGCCGCCACCACCTCCGCCTCGGACTCCTCGCCCTCCTGAGAAACCTCCACGCGGGACCCCGCGACAACGAAATCCTCCTCCACGACGTCCTTCCCCTCCAGGGTAGACTCGACGACGCCCTCGGCGTCGACGCCGTCGACGGGGCCCTCAAACGCCAGCTGCGCAACTGCCCAGGCCCTCACACCTGCAGAGCTCGGCCTCGATCGACCGCAGCTCGGCCTCAAGGTCCCGCGCCGCGGTCGCCGTCGCCCCCGCCTTGCGCAGCTCCTCGCACCCCTCGCCTTCCTGGGAAATCTCCTCTTGCGACTTCACGACGTCTACCTCCTCGTAGACGAATTCCTTCTCCTCCAGGGGGTCGTCCTGGGGGGCCGCCACGTCCACCTCTTCGCCGAGCCGATCACCAGCTCGGTCTCTGTCGAAGGAGCGGCGGCACGGCGCCGCACCGCATCCCGCGCAGCGGCGGCCGCCGCCGCCAGGAGGCGGGCCTGGGAGACGAAGCCCGCGAGCGCCACCAGCTCGCCCAGAAGCGCGTCGACGTCGGCGAACGCAGGGGGGACCGCCTCAGCCCCCGCGAAAGACTGACCTCCGCCACCGCCCCGCCGACGCCCGCGACGCGGGGGGGGAGCTCCACCGCCTCGGCGCGGAGGGACCCCGCCAGCAAGACCTCGGAGCCCCCCGCGCCTTCTCCCCCGAACTTCAGCTGGGCCTCTTCCTCCCCGGGGTCGCCCATGTCCGCGGCGGCCAGCGGCCGAGCTCCCAGCTCCGCCGCGCGCGCCGCGTTCACCTCGCCGAAGCGCGGCCCAGCCGCCGCCCAAGCTACGCCGGCAGCCGAGGCGGAGGAGGAGGAGGCGGCCCCCCCTGAAGGGAGAGAACGCGGGACCCAACGCCGCCGCCCGCCCGGCGCCCAAGGCAGGCTCGAGCCAAAATGGCCACGGAGGAGGGGGAGGTGGAGGAGGAGGAAGAGGACGAGGAGTGGGAGGAGGAGGAGGAGGAAAAGGAGGAACAGGAGGAGCAGGAGGAGGAACAAGAGGAGCAGGAGGAGGGGGGACACTGAACGCATGGAAAGACGCAGAGGGGGCATGGCACTCTCGGAGGTTCCAGGGTCGCAACCGCGATATCCACGCCCCCCCCTCGACGCCCCCCGGCCTCGCCCCTCCAGGGCCGAAACCGGCGCGCAATGCATTTCGCACCTCCCTTCCCAATCCGAACCGAGTGACCCATGACAAGAGCGGCCCCGGCCGATCGATGCGCAGCTTCAGGAGGCGCCCCTGTCGGCGGAAGAAGAGGGGCGGATGGCCCTGGGCCGCGCGTCCACGCAATGCCCCAGACCCACGAAGTCGCGATTTGTTTCATGACGTGGCCCTCAACCCCCTCCCTGGGGGCCCGCCAGCCCAGCCAACCCCCATTCCTTCTTCGCATTGCAACGAACGCACCGACGCGAGAAGGGTGCAGCGGCACCTTGCCGCGCGAACTGCCACCGGCGCCCAGGCGGGGGCAGGCAGGAAACAATTCAGGGCGGGAGGGCTGGGCAAGCGGCCCCCCTGACCCGAGATTGCCGCAGCGGCGCTGGGAAGGGGGGAAAGAAGCAGAGGGCGGGAGGACAGCGCACGCATGGAGCAGGCAGCGCAAAACTTTGCTCCACCTTCGTGAATCAGCGCTAGCCCTCTCCACGCCCCATCTCTTTTCGCACTGCAGCAAACACGGCGAAGCAAAGAGCGAGGCGCAGCGGCGCCTCGCCGCGCGGACTGCCACGGGCGCCAACGCCAACGCGGAGAGAATGGCGGCGGCAAGGACGCGCATCGAAGCAAAATGCAGCCTAATTCTCAAGGCCACCGTCGTCAATGACGACCTGCGCGAGCAGGCCAGCAGCCACCTCGTCGCCCGGCGCACGCGGCCGCGCGGAGGCAAGGGAGGGCCACCCACCACTCGACAGCATGGCCTCAAACGCCAAACGCTGCAAACACCTCATATCACGGCCGCGCCATGTCACGCCGACGCCGGCCAGGTGCTCGCGAAACTCGCAAGTCCACGGCGCCGGCGTGAAACCACACAGCGGCGGACCAGCGCTCGCACAGGTCTGCTCGTCCAGCAACGGCAGCCACGCGCGCGGACAGAGAGCCCCATTCATTCGCGTTGCAGAGGCAGAAGGCAAACGCGGCGCAAAATCCTGGCGCTGCTTGCGCCGGATGGGATCGCAAAGGAAACGATTGCCTGCAGCCTGTAGCAGGCCCCGCCGACACAACCGAAACAGCTCCGACGGCATGCGCAACAGGAGGTTGCAAGTAAGCACAGCTACGAGGCACCACCAGACCCGGCCTCGCGGAAAGGCGCGCCACAGCAAGGTCTTCAGCGACGCCCTGCCCACGCGCTGCTCAGGCAAGCGAGGCGCCCTGCCTTTCGCGGTGCCCAGCGGGGCCCCGCACAAGATGGCTTCGCGGTCGCCCTGCCGCGGCGCGCCTGCAACCTGGCGCGCCATGACCCAAGCGCTTAGCCATCCGCGCTGCGTGGCGGCACGCGCGCACGCTGCAGCAACCCTACGCATGCGCTGCACATTTCACCCCAGCGGGGGCTCACCTAAGAGCTCAGACACCCGCGCAATCATGCACGAATGCGATGCGTACGTCGAGAGCGTCGACGGCGCTGTCTCACTCAGGAACCGGCACTCCACCATCGCGCCCGCTACGCGAAGCAGATCGGCACCCTGAGCGCGGGCCTCGCCTCGACCATGGCCCGCAGCACCTCGCGCGGAGGCGAGCCGTCCGGGTGCCTTGCAGAGCACCCCCTGTCCGGGTCAGCACCGTCATCACGACGGCGTCGCCCCTGCCCACAGCCCGGCGGAAAGTGCCCAGCGCGCTCGAACGCGTAGACCAAGCCTCAGCGGGGCCACGCTCGCGCGCGACGCCGCCACGGATAGCCCGCACCCCGCGGGGCGGAGCGCTGGCAGCGCGCGGGCGGCAGCGCGCGCTGCCGCTGCCTCCTGGCGAAGTGGCGCCAGCGTGCCCAGCGGGGCCGCCCCGGCGCCGCCGGCGACCCAGCGGGGCCCCGGAGCGACCAGCACAGAAGCCAGCGGGACTGAAACGCACTGCAGTGCGCCCTGAGAAACCAACGCGGCGGCGGCCTGGGACGCCGCGCGGGCGGCCGCTTTCAGGCAGGGGCGCCGGACCACTGGCGGGGAGCGCAGCGGCGCGCGCTGATGGGGGCGCGGGCCCACGCGCCGCGCCCAGCAGGCGGGCGGCCACGCTGTCGAATACGAACCAACACAGCGGCGGCCCCGAACCCATTCCCCGCCCCGAGCAGGAGGGAGGCAGGATGGAGGCGCCAACGACGACGGCGACCGCGACCGCGACGACGATGAAGATGACGCAGGCGCCGACCGCGGCAGTTGCCCACTCTGTCTGAGCCTGGAATCCTGCGCCTTGGAAGGGCGGGGGGAAGGGAGGAAGAGGAGCAGGAGGAGGAGGAGGAGGAGGAGGAGGAGGACGAGGAGGAGGAGGAGGAGGAGCGGCGGCAGCCGCGGCAGCAGGAGGAATGGCGGGGAAGGCGGCAGCGGCGGCGGGAGGCGGCAGCAACAGCAGCACACCGCCGCAGTAGCGGCGGCGGCCAACCAGGGCGCCCATTTTCCTGTAGCCAGCAGATGCGATACCTGGACAGGTCCACGGTCAAGGAGGGCGTAACTTTGACGACCTTGGCCCCGAGCTTGGCGAGGGCGTCCTCGCCCTCTTCCGTTGACGCTGCGTCCAGATTATTGGAAGCGGAGTGCACGCATTCGAACCAACAACGGACGCCGCGCTGGCACACTAACTCGTGCACCGCACCTACCACGCACGCAGGCCACGTGCGGTGACCCGCTGTGCCCGCGGACGCACCCAGCGAGCGCCGCTGAGTTGTCGCCAAAGCAGCAGAGGCAACGCGAGCGAATTTTACCGCCCCACACCTCCAAGGTTTTACTGATTCACCATGCTTCGGCGCCATTAATAACATACTGGCGGCAGGGCCCGAATTGATCGAGCACCTGGCGGGGCAGCACAACCGAAAGTCCCTCGCGGACCTCTGGGGCTGCCCCAAGGAAGACCAGCATTGCTGCGGCCCACTGGGAAGACAGCGCAACGTCGCCGTAAAGTATGGCAACGGGGGCGCGGCCGGCGAGGCCAAAGGCAGGGAGCGCGGGCGCGCGCGCCGCAGCAGGTGGGCCCACAACCGGAGGGCAACCCTAGCCTGCTGCGGCCATTCGCCGGCGCACTGGGCGGCCTCAACGTGTCCGAGAGCGTCGAACAGCAGCCGGCGGGCGCGCGCGCCCGCCTTCCCTGCAGCCCGCGCGAGTCGAACACGAGCCTACCGATGCACGAGGACGCCTGCCCGCCTGCGGGCGGGAGCGCGCGACTTCCTCGCACTCTCGAGCAAGCGGCTCGCGCCGACACCTGCGGTTGCCGACTTCGGGGCCCTCCAAGCGGGAGGTAAAAAATAACCCCTGGAGAAGCATGTGGGTCCCGCGTTGGCTTTTCGCCTCCTTCACATCGTACTCCAAGACCTTGAGGACCCCCCAGAGGACGAAACGGGGGGACAACGCTGACCAGGGAGGTTCCCAAGTCCAACAATTCAACGGCGCAAGACGTCGCGGAGACAACAAAACACGACGTTTGAGTTCGTGGCAACACCTCCAGTGCCGAGATCTTGTGACAGAAGCTCCCTCCCTACTATTTCGCGCCTTTGCGGGTCCCAGAAGAGCTGGACGACGCGCACCGGGGTGAGGCAGCGGCCTACCTGGTGATACGCATTCCGTAAATCGTCCTCGCTGCCCACAGGCGGTTCGCCGAAGGCCGACTGCGACGCCACCATCTGCGCGAGAATGACCATCTGAGCACACGATACGCCCTGCAGGAGACCACGCGACATTGAAGCAGCGCCCCCCCGGAGAGCCCGATGCATCAGCACACGCCCGGATCTCCCAGGACTAGCTGGGCACAGCGGCGCCCTCTCCCTCCGGACACTTACTCTGCCACACGGCGAATTTGCGGCTGAATACTACGTTGTCCATTCCACTGGGGCCAAAACTAAAGACTTCGAACGGCCGGGCGGGCCCTAGAGAGCCCGTCTGTTCGGCCTCTGCCCCTTGCGACCGCAACTCGGCGGCGTGCGGGTGGCTCCTCTGGACTCGCTGGACGAGTTCTTCGTTGCGGCTCTGCAGCTCTCCTCCAAGAGCGGGCTAACCGACCAAGCGGGCAGATTCGCCGTTCCCTCGGAAAAAATGCCTGACCCCTCGGCAACCAGTGTCGCGGAGCCCCTGGTGGAAGCACTGCAGAAAAGAAACAGCAGGGGAGTCGAGGAGGCGGAGGAGGCGAAGGAGGAGGAGGGAGGACTTACGAGCAAAGTGGGCAACGGCTGGGTCAACTTTTTGCCTCAGCTCGACCTGCTCGTCGCGCAGCTCGCGCTCCCACACCTTCAGCAGAGCCAACCTCCTCAAACGGATGTCGTTCACTGCCCTGCCAAACCGAATTTGGCCTGCAATGGCGAAAGCTGTGCCTACCGCCACAGCCGGCGACTGGTTTAAAGGGTGGGCGCCGCGCCGCGCCACTCTGAGCGGTGCGTCCAAGTGCTCGCCAGGGCTGGGACCTCACGACTGCACGGTATCATACACGTGGCGGGGCTGCACGGCGACAGCGGGGTCGCCCCACCACCCGCGAACAACGGAAAAGGCAACTGCCTCGCTAGGCAAGGCGTGCCCGTGGGCACGACGGCACGAGGGCCAGCAAGTCTGCGTTCTGGCTGAAAGTCCTGAAACTCACCGCGCCCAGCGGGGCGCGGGGAGCAGGGGGTGAGGAGGCGAGGGCGGGGGGGGCTTAGGGAGGCGAAGGGGAGAGCGGGGCCTGGTCCCTACTCAACTCTACATGCAACGCAGGGCGCGCACATAAAGAATCACTCACGAGCAGGCGCTGGCCACCCGGTCCACCACCATGCGGGGCGCCTGGAGCTGAGGGGGCAAGCAGGAGAGGAAGCAGGAAGAAGGGGAGGAGGAGGAGGAGGAGGAGGAGGAGGAGGAGGAGGAGGAGGAGGGCGAGTCCTGGTCTGCGGTCATCTGTACACGTGGGGCAAGGCCCCGATGCAAAGAATCACTAGCGGTAAGTCGGGCGTGTCCCCCTACAGGGGGATCTTCGACGAAATATTAAAAATACCCCCCCAAAAAAATACTCCCAAATGGTCAAAAAAATACTCAAAACAATAGTCCCCAGACTATTTTTAAACTATTTTTGAATATTCCCCCTGTTCCCCACTTAACACTAGCGACCGTGTCGCCGTCGCTGGGGCAGCGGCCCAGCGCGGCGCGGCAGCGGCCGCGCCCTCACTGCCAGTGGCCAAGGCAGGCCTCTCACCCGCGGCCCGGAGGCCCGGAGGCCTGGCCGGGGGGGCCGCCCCGCGCCCTCGGCGGAGGGGAACGGGAGCGCTCGCGGCGCTGCTCCGGCTGGTCGCGGCCCCGGTGGCCCGCGCCCTTGCGCACGAGCCCCCTGCCGTTGGACCCCAGGCGCGCCAGGGAGCAGCGCACGGCGCCGGGGCCCACCGTGGGGCACAGCGGGCACCCGTGGCGGTACGAGCACGTGTTGCCGCTCACGCGACTCCCGAAGAGGAGCCGCCGGCACGGGTGGGGGCCGGTCCGGCGCGCCGCCTGCCCCGCCGCTGCCCTGCAGGCTAGCCTGGCTCCAGCAGGCCCGCGCTCCGGCCCGACCTCGTTCTGGCACCGCGGGGAGCTCCAGCGGAGGCCCCAGGTGGCAGGTTCACATGGCGGCCCGGCCCATTGCGGCACACCACTCACACGCTCCGTGGCCCCGTACGGGGCTCCACCGAAGGCCTCGTGGCAGGGTTCGCGTGGCGGCTCCGTCTCTCTTCGGCACCCCCCTCACACGCGTCGTGGCCCCACAAGCTCCACCGAAGGCCCCAGTAGGGTTCGCATGGCAGCCCTTGTCCCATCTTGGCACGCCCATCACACGTTTCGCGGCCCAAGAGGCAAGAGGGAGCTCCACGGAAAGCGGTACCCAGAATGCGGTACTCACGACTGCATGTGGTTGGGCCCTTCGCAACTTCAATCGACAACCCCAGAGGTCCCGACCTCTTCCCTGGGACCAATGTTTATCCACGGATCCATTACTGATGGTCCTGGGGCCCGATAACGGGCCCCAGAGCGAAATCGAAGAGAAACGCACGAATTGCAAAAATCTGATCGCCGAAGATCTCCGTAGCTATCTGCCTCTTGGCGCTTTTCGCCCGACCCAATCCAATGGACGCCCTTGTCGGCGCCCCAGATTAGAGTCAAAAGTTGACTCCTGAATCTCTTGAGGGACGCGTTCTGACCAGAGCCTTGAAGCAGACCCAGCCGTGACCACGGGGCGCCCAATGGACGACCAGATGGGTGCAAGGAGGCGAACCTCGAACCACTGTCCCCGAACCCCGAACCCCGATCCTCGAGCCTCAAACCTCGACCTGGCCCCCTCTCCGATGGACATCCCCGATTTGGACGCCCCGCAATCGGTACGGAAAAATGGCGACCGTGCCCAACTGCACGTGGCGTCCGAGACCGACAGCGACGGCCGGTGGACAGGCGACGTTGTGCCTCGAGTGGACAGCGCCCGCGGCACCGCCGACAGCGAGCCCTGTTCAAAAGAGACAAGAACTGCTGTTAGCCGTCGACTACATCCTCTCCGTGCCCCGAATATCTTCACAAAAGGGATAGGGGTCTATTTGAGAGGGCTGATCCGGTTCGGGCTGCCTTGAAGGGTTCCAGGGGGGTTCTGGGCAAAAGGCCGCCCTTGCATGGCTGGTCTGTGGGGGGGTCAAAAACTGCATGGGAGGTCTGTGCCCCCCCCCCTTTTTGTCATTAGGGGCCTCCCGAATGGGGTCCGCGTAGATGGGGTCGGAGAAAATCGGGCTCCACATCGAGCCGCATCGTCGATGCATCAGCGATTCGGCGCGCTCGTCCGACCCCATCTGCTCTGACCCCATCCAGGATGCTTAGACTTTACTGCGAGATTCGGATTACCTTTTAGCCGCGCGCACAAGGAGGCAGGGGAAGGGGGGGAGGCTTCCTAGAGGGAGGCCGCTCCTTAGAAGGCGCCAACCACACATCCACAGACAAGGGCGGCACCTTCTGAGAAGCAGGGGTGCCTCTGAGAAGCCTCCCCCCATCCCCCCATCCCTGAGATCCGACGTTGCAAAAAAAATGCGCATCATCACGAAAGATCACGACCAAAGCCCTTGACCCCATCTTTCTGCGCCACTCTTCGAGCCGGATCGATCTATGACCGTCCTGGGGCTGGGAGCTGGGCGCAAACGGCCGTTGCAAAAAAGCTGCGCAACGCCAGGATCTCAGGGATCCCCCCCCTGCGCGTGGCCGGGCCTGTCTCGATTGCACCCACCGACCCAGACCCCCGACGTCATGAATTTTTCACGACGTCGACCCCTGGAGGTCTCGACCCATTCGCCTGGACTGGTTGTTCAATCCTGATTTTCTGACGGTCCCGAGAGCCGGTAAGGCAAGGGCCCCCAGGGGCCGAAAATAGCAAAAACCTCCCGTCGTGATTCTTGTCACAACGCGAAGACGTCTGGGGAGGGAGGCCCCCGATTAAGCAGGGACCGACCGTCCCGGCACTCCTATAGGCCTACCACGCCATGTTCTTGGAACCCAACAATTTTCGAAAAACAAAAACAGTGTTCTTAGAACATAAAACCGATGTATCAAACTAAGACAGTCCCAGCCAGAAACGTTCTAAGAGCACTTCGTGAAGACCACACAAGGTCCTTAGAACATTGGTTGGTAGGCCTACAGGCACGCCAGGACGCTTCGCCACTGCTTGACTCGGGAGCGGCCAAGAGGGGGGCGTCCAAGAGGGGGGGTGCAAATCATGACCGGCGGCATGTGCGCGGCCCAGCGGGGGGACCAGGGACGCAATGAAATACGAAGAGGCGCCACGAAATCTGGGGAACTATCATGGCCCCCGCCATGAGATCCCCCCCCCCCAGTCACCACCCCCCTCTCTGCCGCCCCCGATTGACCCGAGGCCTCGGCGAGCGCCCGCTGCGGCCCGGGGCCTCTGCGGGCGCCGCCTGCCCGCCGGCGGGGGCGGCCGCGGGCGGCCCGCCGGCGGGGCCGCGGGTCGGGGCGCGGCCCACCGCCGCGTGCCGCGAGGTGGCGCGCATGGCCCGCATCTCCTCCTCGGGGGGGGAGGGGGGGGATGCTCTGCGGCGAGCGGGCCCACGGCCCCCTCGCGCTGGGGGGAAAAGTAGGGGAACAAAAAGTGGCATAAACATGAAAACTCGGAGGTCCGCGCGGATTTCTCGGATCGGCGCTGGACCCCCTCCCTGGCGCGCGGAGCGCGCCGCCGGGGGGCCCCAGCGCCGATCCGAGAAATCTGCGCGGACCTCCGAGTTTCTATGTTTACGTCACTTTTTGTTCCCAAAAAATGGCGACGGGAGATTTTGTTCGCCGCTTTCGGCCTTTGGGGGCCCTCGCCGGGGCCCACACACACACACACACACACACACACACAAGCCGTACATCCAGCAGGATGCGTTGGCACGACGACCACCGTGTAAGGCCGCCGACAGAAAATCTCACACTGCAACACGAACGAAGTCGCCGCGGCCCAGGGCTGCCAAGAAAAAAGACTCGGGATGGAAAGCCAGTCCTCGGGAAGGGGTCCAGGCTCCTGTCACGCCGCGAAAAGATCACGACGCCGGGGGTCTGGGCGAGGTGAGATGCGACGAGACAGGGCCCTGAATGCGGTTCCAAGGGGGCCCAGTCCAGCCCTCCCCCCCTCGGACGCCTCGGAGGAGAGCCGAGGCGTCAGACTGCTCGCCCTCCGCCAAGGCCCTGTCAGCAGGCTCGGAGGTCCTCCGGCCTTCTGAGAAGTTTTCTGAGCCTTGTCTGGACAAGCAGACAGTTTCTCGAAGGGCGCGAGGGCTTCTCACTTCCCCATGCGCGCCGCCGAGATACAGTCAAAACTGAAATCAAGGATGCGCGAGAAGGATGCAAGCTCATTGGCCGCCTATGTCGAAGCTTCTCGTGCGGGGCTAGCCATCGAACGTGGTCAAGGGTGGACCAAAGAGACAAGGATGCAAGGATGCCTTTGGGAAGGTTTTCTTAGGAGGCAGAACATGGGAGCCTCGTTTGGGGCATTGCAGTCTTGATTGAATATCATATTGTGCGGTTTGGTGGGAATTAGTGCAGGTCCAAGTTGACAGAATCCTCTGGCACTGAATGGTACTGAAAGGAACCAGGCGGCACTCAATGGCACTAAAAGGTACAACAAGGCACTGAACTGTGCGAAATGGTATGAACTGGTCCTAAATAATATTAAGTTGTATTACATTGCACGAGATGACACTAACAACGGGCCAGGGCGTGCTAAGATCTCCGGTACCTGGTTAACAGTATTTCTAGTTCGCGCGCGCGGGGCGGCCCCTGGGGGTCCCCAGACGAAAAGTACCCCGACCAGGTCCCGGCCGGTCCCCGGCAAGGTCCCCGGCAAGGTCCCCGGCAAGGTCCCCGGCAAGGTCCCCGCAAGGTCGGGCCAGAGATGCCGGAGCCCTGTTACAGGGCCCCAGGACGGGCCAAGAGGCCCCCAAGAAGCCTCCAAGACGGTCCAAGAGGGCCCCGAGACGGCCAAAGATCGCCCGAAGACGCCCAACAGGGCCCCAAGACAGCCCAAGAGGCCTCCAAGACGCCCCAAGGGCCTTCCAAGAGGCCTCCGAAGAGGGCCCCAAGAGGCCAAAATCGTTGATTTTCATTGTTTTTTTCCGCTGTTTTTTGCGTTCTGGCTTTTTCGGCTTCCGGACGCTCCAAGACGGCCCAAGAGGCCCCCAAGACCGCTCCAAGACGGCCCATGAGGCTCCCAAGACGGCCCCGGAACGGCCCAGGAGGGCCCCCAAGACGGCCCAAGTGCCGCCCAAGACGGACCAAGAGGCCCCAAGACGGGCCCAAGAGGGGCTCAAGAGGGGAACCGAGAACTGAAAAATCGAGCCCTCCGCCCCAGAAGGCGCCCAGGAGGCCCCAAAAAGGCCCCAAGAGGCCCCCAAGAGGCCCCCAAGACGCCCCAAGAGGCGCCCAAGAGGCCCAAAAGAGGCCCCAAGAGGCCCCAAAACGGCCCCCAAGAGGCCCCAAAACTCGGCTAGCCCACAACTGTGCGACAATATGGGCCGGCGGAATGAGCGAAGCGATTAAATAATATTAAGTTGTATTACATTGCACGAGATGACACTAATTTTGCCTAGACAAATCCTCTTACTAACTCTAAACTGCACTGAATTCAAGAATGGACGAGGAAAAAGGAGGACGTCAACCACACTAAGCCACACTAAACTGCACTAGACGGCAATAAACTGACGCTGAGATTCACCAGGGTGTTAAGAAAGGCCGCCATGATCTGCAACATAACCTGTCCGTACCATCGATTCGGCTGTAATGCAGGACCGCGTCGACGAGGTGTTATAGAAGATTGGGAATTTCGGGTTCGGGGGCTGGGGAAACCAAACCACGAGGGTACCGATACAGCTACTCCCCGGACCTTTGCCGGGGTGCGCTCTGACCAGGAGTTCGAAGGAACTCAGCGGTGGCGGCGAGGGCCCCCCAGGAGGCCCCAAAAACGAAGACGAGGAAGATGGCGGTATGGGCAACTGCTCCTGCTCTGAGGGACGTGTGCGTCGGTTTTCGGCGGCTTCCAAGCCTCGGGACTCGCGCTCCAGCGGCTGCGCCTCGCCGAGAGGCGTCCGCGGGTGCCCAGAGCGTCACGACCGATGGCGACCTGGGGCCTCTGGCCTCTGGCCTCGGGCCAGGGCCCACCACCGCGTGCCCCGAGGTGGCGCGCATGGCCCTCGTCTCCTCCCAGGGGCAGATTTCGGCTACAGTGAGCATGCGGTGATTGCAGGGCTACAGTGGGTTCGCGCGGCGTCGGCGCGCGCACAAGATCTTGGCACCGCATCGATCGTTCAACCTTGAATCGATCGCGGCCCCGATCGTTCAAGGTTGAATTCTGTCGGGTCCTACGGCGTTACCGTGCCCCTCAATGCTTCCGCCTCGTTCTTTCACCTGGAGCTCATTCTTAAACGCCTTCGGAGGCGTCGCCGGCGCGCCATCGCAGCATGAACATACAATACCCTAATATCCTGGTGCTGCACTTTCTTCACAATGATCGTTTGCGCCCAAGTTCGGGGCCTGGAACCCTCACAGATCGATCCGGCTCGAAAAATGTGAAACAGAAAGATGGGGTCAAGGGCTCCGGTCGTGATTTTTCACGATGTCGCAACTTTTTCGCAACGTCGGATCTCAGGGTAGGCGCACTAACGAAACTAGTCCTGGACTGGGAGCACCATCACAGATTTGGGGGGCAATCCTCGGGGCAATCTGGATAAAGCCTGCGCGGTAGTGCAGGACCCTGGTCGGTGGCGCGCCCAGGGAGGGAGTGAGAAGGGGTGAGCGCCTGAGGTGGCGCGCATGGCCTTCGTCTCCTTCTTGGGGGGTAGGGGGCGATCGTGCAGGGCTAGAGGCCTCCTAAATGGGGTCCGAATAGAGGGGCTCAGAGGATCGCGCCGCAGGCGGCGGGGCCTCTCCGAAGACCACTGGCCTTCTGAGAATCCGCCCTCGTCTTCGGAGAAGGCTCAAGAATCTTATACGAAGGCTGGAGTTCTTCCGAGCCTGCTGAGAGGGCACGCCTCCTCCTCCTCCTCCTCCTCCTCCTCCTCCTCCTCCTCCTCCTCCTCCTCCGCCTCCGCCTCCGCCTCCGCCTCCGCCTCCTCCTCCTCCTCCTCCTCCCGCCTCCTCCTCCTCCTCCTCCTCCTCTCCTCTCCTCCTCCTCCTCCTCCTGCTCCTCTGCTCCCTCCGCCTCCGCTCCCTCCCCTCTCTCTCCTCCTCCTCCTCCCTCTCCTCCTCCTCCTCCGCCTCCTCCTCTCCTCTGCTCTTCTGCTGCTCCTCCTCCTCCTCCCTCCTCCTCCTCCTCCTCCTCCTCCTCCTCCTCCTCCTCCTCCCCTCCTCCTCCTCCTCCTCCTCCTCCTCCTCCTCCTCCTCCTCCTCCTCCTCCCCCCTCGAGGAGAGCAAGCTGAGACAGCGGTATAGCTGGCCATCGGGGGGGCCCTCGGGGGGGGGTCCCGCGCCGCCAAGGCTGCACGCAGCTCTGAAGACTGCTGCGCCCGGACCCGCGGAAGGAGCCCGGGGATCGACTATGATGCGCCTCCGTCTCGGCTCGCCCGCCTCGAGGGGGGTTGGCGGCGAGCAGGAGGAGGAGGAGGAGGAGGAGGAGGAGGAGGAGGAGGAGGAGGAGGAGGAGGAGGAGGAGGAGGAGGGAGGAGGAGGAGGCGGAGGGGCAGGGGGGAGGGGGGAAGGCTTCTTAGAAGGAGGCTGCTTCTTAGAAGGCGCCGGCCTTACATCTACAGAGAGGGCCCGCACCTTCTAAGGAGCAGGGGTGCTTCTAAGAAGCCTTCCCCCCTCCCCCTACCCCCTCTGCGCGCCGCGAAGGGGGAACTAGACGAGAAAGGACACAGCTTCCCAGCGATATGATTTTGTTTCCATCCCGGCGTTTTTCCTCAGTTCCGGCTACTGGGGCATCCATCGAAGTTTGATCCGCGTGGCGGAATGCTGACCCCAGGGAAGGGGCTGGCACCTCCGAGGACTCATGTAAAAAACACAGATCGTCGAATGCCTGAGTGACGATCCAGAAGTATCGCTGAGTGAGCGATTCCAAATATAGCTTTCTGTCGTTGAAGAAGGCTTGGGATAAGACGGTCACAACATCTCAACAAGGACTGATCGGCCTATTTTTCCACCACCACCGCCAGAAGTTGGATGGTGAAGGAGGAGGAGGAGGACGAGGAGAAGGAGCAGGAGAAGGAGGAGGAGGAGGAGGAGGAGGACGAGGAGGAGGAGGAGGAGGTGGTGGAGGAGGAGGAGGAGGAGGAGGAGGAGGAGGACCCCCTACCCCTGCAACTTATGGCGGTGGTGGTGGAAAAGAGGCCCACCAAGAACGACGAAGGAGCCCGCGAGCAGGCCCCACGGCCGATTCATGGATCCTCCCCCGGGGCGCTGCTGCGCTGCGGGCCCCCTGGGCCTCTCTTGCTCGTGACGGGGGGGGCCGCCTCGGGGGGCGAAGCGTGGGCTCGGCATCGACAACGCCTCTACTACGGGGGGCCCAGAGCATGCACCGCCACCACCTCCCCCACCCCCT